TTTTTTAAAATTATTTCTCATAAAAAGCTTATAAGAAACTTCAAAGATTAAAAAATTCTTTTTCGTTTCGTAAAACGACTTGGACAACTTGACAACTCAAAGGTTTTATCCTTTCTGTTTCTTGCGTTTCTTGGGGTAAAATAAAATATGAAATAAAAATTTTCCTTGTTCTTCCTCTTTTTCTCCGACTCGAAAGTCTCGAGAATTTTTTTTTTAACAAACTGTTTGCCTTCTCCTCGGGTTTTTTTCTCGACAGTCAGTAAGAGGGCGAAGCTGAAGCGAGAAAAAAGAAGAGTTGGAGGGAAAAAGCAGTAAAGAACCCTTCCGACAATCACACAAGAACCGAAGCATTCGCTTGGGATATTCTCTCCCTGCTTGTTTCTTTGGAGTATGAGTCGGAGAAAAAGGGTTGAATGAAACACACACAGACATTTTCTCTCTCAATTTCAATTCCTTTTTCCCATTCCACTTCCACCTCATACCATCAAGACAAACTCTTTCAAAATATTTTAAAAAATGAGTAAAAAACATAAATAAAAATATCTGAACAATGCTCGATTATAGCTTTCACAAAAAGCTTTTCTCATATTTAAGGCTATCGGGAGAAAGATAAATAAATTCAACATTGAACCAACAAGAATATATGTGAAGCAAACAGAAACAATAGAAAATGAAATGAAATATAAAATTAAAGCAATTCAAACATGAGAAAAGAAAAGAGAAACTTGAAGGAAAGAAGCTTCATGGTAAGGGGACGCATTTTTGTGTCCATCTCTTTCCAGCAACGAACGGCCAGCAAGCGCGGAACAATAATGAAAAGAAAAATTAGAGAAAAAATGAAAAAATGCAGAAATTGCGGAAAAAAGGGAAAAAAACTTTCCTTCGGTTTCATCTTCGGTTATCGCTTCGGCTTTTCTATTGACTCGCACACAGGCAAGGAGGGACAAGGAGAAGCGAATTTTTTTTTTACTGATTTAATTTTTTCCCATTTACTTTTTTTCCATCGTCGTTTTCTGTTCCGTAAATGGGCAAATGAAGAAAGAAAAAAAATTGCTTTCAAACACACTTCTGGCCATTTCAGGGTGGTAATGAGGAAAAATGTTTTCTTTTAATCAAATAATTTCACTCAAGTTCAAGTCATAAAGAACTTTGAAACTTTTCTTAATCTTTAAGTTTCTTTTAAGTGAATAAAGTTCCCCTTGATGCATCTCTGATTCATTCCTTTTCTTCAACGAATCCTTAACGGCGCAATTTTTATTTTATTTTTTGTATTTCCCATCCACATCGACGTTTGTGCTGCTTGTGTTGTGCAAAGAGACCGTCCTTACTTTGGCGATTTTTCAGGGGAGAAAAAAAATATGCCGTTAAGGGCAAGCGCAGAAACTCAGAAATCGCTCATCAACAGAAGAAACACAAAAAAGAACGAGAAAATGGAAAAAAATAAACGGAGTTGAAACGACCAGTCCAACACGGTGAAAATATTTCAAGGAGAAAGAAAATTGTTTCTTCGGAGAGCACGACTTCTCTCGTCTCGATTATTTTATGTCTTGGAAATTGTGAAGCATTTTGGACAAAATTTAAAAATTATTTCAAGCGCGAAGATAATTGTCTTAAAGAATTTTTCATCGTCTTTTGATCTTTCTTATGACTATCAGAACTATTTTTGGCGCGTAATCTTAGACTGACAAATCAACGAGAGAAATATTTTGAGTTAAAGCTCACCTGAATCTCATTTGAAAATTTATCAGCACTAAATTTCGATTCAGGTGATGAATTTTCAGCACCCGGAGATGCTACAGGTGCTGGCTGTTGCTGGTTCATCGGAAATCCACTTTGAGATTGATTATAGTTGTTCTGATTTTCCTGTCCCGAAATCAAATGATCTTTTAGGTCAACGACACTGTTATTTGTATCATTTTGTGAATGATATCCACTCGATGTCTGCTGTTGTTGTTGTTGTTGATGAGTTCTTTGAGGATGATAATCATTTGAAGTATCAATCATTGGCGAAAAGTTATTGCCAGATGGATTGGGACCTCGTGGTGGCCAAAAATCTGAATTCATTTTCAAATTCTCCAGATGAGATTGAACGTTCAATGTCATTTAAATTCGTTTACTTTTCACAGTTTTCTTCACTTTTTATATTTCTTGAGTTTTCAATGTAATATTTCTCTTAAGTTAAAGGTTTACATTAAACACAAAACAGTTTAGATGAGAATCTTATGAAACATTCACTTTTTTATTTGTTTTATTGTCACACCAATTAGTTAGTTGATAACTCCAATTAAAATTATTTCCAATGGTTTTCTCACTTATTTAATCAGCTGATTTAATTTCTTCGAATGTTAAACTTGCTTCTTCATGCCATATGATTATTTTATATTTTTATCATTTAATATTCTTTATGATTTCCACAGGTCTTACTCCAAATCTGTAAGAAGTCAAGTAATGGTTTAGTTTTCTTAAATAAAATGTCAAACATTCAAAGTTTAGTCATCAAATTAATTAAGTCAAATTTTCATTAGTTTTTCCGCGAAATATTTCGAAGGATCTTAGAAAAGTTTAATGAAGAAAATCCGTGTGTCTTTGACAACGATGTGATATCAACTGGCAACCATCGTCAGCTAAGAAAATTTTCTTACAACATGTCAAGAAAAGAATGAAAAACACTTTTCCCTCCGTTTCTCTTTATTCTTGAGTGACGAAAAATTTCCCGGCTTTTCTCTCTTGCGATAGTCGACTTTAGAGAAAAGAAACTTTTTTTCCTATTGAACTTCACGAATCTTTGCTTTTTCTTTTGGACCACTTAGAAATGTCCTTTCAATTATAATTTTTATTTTCTCACAAGTGATAAAAATATTTTGATTACTTTTCTGAAGGAAAGAAAACTTCAATAAATTCTTAAAAGTAAGTTGTCACTCGGGACCGCCAATACCAACTGCACGGTGCCCGCCTGATGAACGACTGTCTTATGATGTCGGCGAAGAAAGCGAAAAATAAGAAAGTTTTCGTTTTTCTTATTTTTCTCCATCCTCGAAGGAATTTTTCTTAAGATGCTGCTTTTTTCACCGCTTTCGAGGGCGCCGTGGAAAAATTGTTAACGAAACGTTTCGCGCATTTCTAGTGTGGCTTTTGGGTTTGGGTTGGCTGAGACGATCATTGTATAAGAATAAAAGAGAAAATTTTCCCCTAATTAAGGACTCCTTTGCTACTCGCAAGAAAAGAAAATATTCTTTCAAAGTAGTTTTTTATCAAGAAATATTTCTTTCCGTTAAAGCAAGAACAAGAATATCAAAAACCCCAACTTGTGCTGACGCATGGTCCGTAGATCAAGCATAACATATATGGAGAATTTCTCCTCGATGTTAAATACATTTTCACTAGCATTGTAATCTCGATATCTGGATTCTGCATAGTGAATTATTTTTATTAACATCAGCAACGCTAGCGCCACATGCGGCGAGAAGCATCACATCGTGGTGAATTTTTGTCCTCGCTAAACCGTCGAAACTTCAAAAGCAATGACAATTGTTGCAAGAGGAAAAGTAAAGAGAGAAAATCATTGAAATCATTAAATTCACCATGAGAGACGAGGGTTGAAGTTTAATGAAAGGGTTGTTCATTGTTCAGGGTGATCGAAACCTTTGCTTTATACATTTCGCTTCTGATGTGTGTTTTTTATTTATATTTAGCAATGGAATGAGTTCAATATATGCATCGTAATGCACACATCACCCACCCTCGCCATGTTATAAATCTCATAATGCACCAATGCAAATGGCGAATTTTCAGGACATTTTTTTCTTGATGACCAAACTTTTGTTATGGAAATTGAAAAGTTAATGAAAAAATTCTTACCTTTCAATCGATTTTTGGAGTGAATTTGAATGATGAATGCACCCAAGTTATTGATTTATCTTAAAACTACCTTAAAAGCTATTTACACAAATTTGATAATGACGTTCTTTTGTTTCTCCTTTTTTAATTGATTATGCAATTTTTTTACAATTATAATCAGAAATATGATAGACCAAAATTTTCTTTTCTTGCGTTTGCAAATTTTGATAGTTAATCTAAATATTAGAAATGTTGTTTTTGTTTTGTACTTTTTGTTACTTTCCTCAAAATTACAATTTTCTTACTGAAATTAAATTTCTATTTTCTGTCAAACTTTTGTTTCTAAATATTTTAATTATAACTACATGTACTGGGAGCTTACACTTCAAGAATTCCCGCAATATTTCTTTTTTTTTTCAATAAGGTTTGATATTAAGGCACTGAAGTTGAATTTAGTTCTCGAAACTTTTTTTAAATCTGATTTCTAAGTTCGAAATATTTAATTGAAATGGATTTATCCTGAATTTTTTAACCTGGAGATAAACTTTTTTTTTAATTTATTCAGACGTTTTAATATC